ATATATATGATTTATACATATAAAATGTTATTTATACATATAAAATGTTTTTTAGACGTATAAAAATTGTTCTTATACATATGAAATTTATTTATATGTATAAAAGCATATAGAAACGTATAAAATGTAATTTATGCCTATGAAAACGTTTTTATACATATAAAAACATATTATTTAGATGCATAAATAAGTTTGTAAATATATATAAACATAAATATATGATTTTATTTGTATAAAAGCTTTATACATGTTGTGTATAATAACGTTGTTTAAATGTACGTATATAAACGGTAGACATATATATAAATAAGTTTTTAAATGTATAAATAAATTAGAAAGCATACAAATATATATACAAAACAATTTTAAAATGAATAAATGTATATATAATAATAATAATAAAACCTGCGCGTTAGATATTAAATATTATCTTTCACCAATTATTTCAAGACAAAACTGCAAAAATGGTCCCTGTGGTATGCATTTTTTTGGGGTTTTAGTCCAAACCACGACTTTTTTGGATTGTTGGTCCTTTTAAGCTAGTTTCGTTGCGTTTTTGGTCCTTCCAAATAGTGAAATGACTATAATAGGGTATTTATTTTTCATTTTTCTTTCAATTTTTTAAATTTAATAGTTATTTTAATTATTAAAAAAAGAGGGGCCTCTCTCTCTCTCTAATAAAAACCACACTCCTCTTCACTTGTTCTTCCTCCCATCAATCTGATCCACTTTTCTGAATCCCTACATAAACATTGATCATAAATCAATCAGAAACACATAAATAGAAACTAAATATGAGCTAAATGGTATTTCCAGCAATCCGATTATAGCAACGCCTGTTCCTTCACAAGAAACCCATCGTTCTAATTCCTCCATAACTCGACCTCAAACTATCAACACAGATCTTAACAGTCGGCTGTAAATTCTCAAGCGAAATGCTCTCAATTATCTCCGTTGAGAAATTCTCCTGTTGCAGAACCCCTTCACAAGGCTCCGGCTCCGGTTTCACAACGCTCTAGTGGGTTTGGTTCTTTTCGTGGTCCATCATCATCTTCCTCAACCACCTGCAACTTTGATTTTTGATTTAGGTTCTGATCAGTTCTTGAACACATAACAGGTGCATCTCGATTTATCCTTTTACCCCTGAATCAATAGGAGCAGATCATCAGAATACCTTTTAAGATCTCACCGGAGAGGTTGCCACTGGATGAAGATGAAGCAGCTGCTAGTAATGGAGGAGTGATGTTTTTTATTGTCTTCTATCCACTCCTCTCGTATCTTTCTCGTCTTCCAGGTCCAAATCAACGGCTCTCTCTGATGTCGTAATCTCGTTCTTCATCTTGGACTTACATCCCCTTTCACCGCCTCCTTCTGAAATCACCCACCAAGAACCCTCTGTACTTTCATTCATCACCCTGCAGATCACACAGATCCTCTATCTCCCCTTTTAGCTCTATCAATAAAAAAACTGAATCGAGTCCCAAAACATTTCTCTTTCCTTTTGATAAACCCCAACACACCACCAATTTTGTTACTTTCGTATCATCCTTTTTGTTAATTTGATTTTTAATGGCTTTGAGTTATAGGTGAGGTAGGGAGAAGAAGATACATGGGTTTTTTCTTAGAGAGAGGGAGAGAGAGAGAGAGAGAGACCCAAATTAATTATTTATTTTCTTTTTCATTTAAATTAAATAGAAAAAAACATAAAAAAAACAAATTGGAAGGGCATTATGGTCATTTCAGTTTACCGAGGGACCAAATCCGCAACGAAATTAGCTCAAAAGGACCACTAATCCAAAAAAATCGCGGTTTAGACTAAAACCCGAAAAAAATGAATACCACAGGAACCATTTTTGCAATTTTTTCTTATTTCAATGAGAACTTCTTAGCCTAGGGACTCCATTTATCCCCCAACCTTTTGTTTTTAACTTGAATAAAGCATTGCTTACGTGGCTAGCTCCGACCCAGCGAAATCGCCCCATCAGCAAAGGGTTCACCGGCTATCCAAGGTAAAATCCGGTTAGGGGGTAAAACTGAACTAATTTTCCTGTAAGTTAGGGCTTTAACGCACCAAAAAACGTATTTGGGACATAACCGATTATTTTGTGTAAAATTGAGGGCTTTTACGACAAAAACACCAACAACTTACAAATACATGCCACTTAAACTTGATTACAAGATGTAATGTAGGGATAGGAGAAGGAGGAGGATGACGAGTGAAGCTGGCGAGAGGTAAAAAAAATTTATCATATATATATCATGTCATTTAGAAAGTAACGGCAATATGGTCCATTGATATTTTCTTTTCAATTTTAGTGATTTAAAAATATGAAATGCACTGTAAATTATTAAAAACTATTAAAAAAATCATATTTGGGTAAATTTGATATTTTAAAATATTAAAAAGGGTAAATATGATATTTAGATATTAAGTCGGGCAAATGTGATATTTTAACGTTTAATAAGGGCATATACGAAATTCTCCATTGATTATTTTATTCCAAAATCCTTTTTTCATTTATTCATATCGGCACGTTGCATATTAAAGAATATAGAAATGCCAAATACCAAATAAAGCAATTCTTTTGATGTTAATCGAGAGATTTCTCAAAGAATATTGTTTTGATGACAAAAATATTAGTAATGCAATGTTGTAATTCGGTATATTTTTTTTAAGTACAACTCCTTACTAAGAATAAAAATTCAATTTTATAACGAAAAGAAACTAAAAAAGGAAAGCTATATACATAGCAACATATATGTCATTTCTCCAAAGAAAAGAATCTGCATTGTAGTATGCGTATACTCAAAACACACGATTGTCATAAGGAATGAATCTTATCTTTCTTCTTTTCTTTTTTTTCTTTTTTCTTTTTTTTTTCTCTTTTTAATATATATACATAGGCTATAGCTAATTTAGATATGCATCGATTATTCTGTCGAAAAAAAAAGTGAAGTGTAGGTAGCTAGTATTTATGTATGACATAGTTTTCTATTTTCAGATGCAAACTTGGTTTATTTTTGTATTTAGATTTAACATGGAAAGCATTAAGTCCACACACATTGATAAACTAAAGAAATCATAGACTTAATGATTAATTGTTCATCGGGGGTATGCTTCGATGAGGATCCTAAAATGTCCCAAAGAGTGAAAGAGATGCTGTGAAATAAGACGATTGACCTGATTGGTACGGGGCATAGCACCAGCATCATCGTTGAGCTTGGGGAGGTTAGCAGTGAAACGAACCCTTCGTTTAGGCTCCTTTATGACAATATCCCTGATATTATTTCCCCATCTGTGTAACGCTGCTCCAGAATCATGCTTCTGCTGCATTCCCCCCAAATTCTCGTGCAAATTATAATTCACATCCCTATAAAACACTAAATAATCAATAATGATTCTTGAACCAATAGGAATC